GGTAAACCTTTTATGAATGAAAAAATTCTTACGTATTCAGTGACGATCATAACAATGCCGTGCAGATGTGGGAACGTCTAGATGAGATCCGTAAAGAGGCTAAAGACTGGATTGGGCAAGTTAAAGAGGAGAACGCGGAAGACTTTGCTAAGAAGGTTAGTGTATCGTTGTTAGGCTGTTTTGCGAAGCACCAATCTTCCAAATGTAATTAATTTGTTGTGTTTAGACTGCTGATTGGAAGGCTAAGTTGAATGCAGTGAGAGCCGCTCGTCTCCAAGAAAGAGCAGAGCAACGCAAGAAGGAACGACGAGAGAAGTGGGCACGGGTAAGCTCATACATGCGAATCTGCAGCTTTTCATTTACTGTATATACACTATATACAGTAAATGAATACTATATATGTGCACTTGCTGTTACAGGCTAAGATTGATGAGGAACGTCGTCGTCGCGAAGAAGAAGAACGCCAGCGTCAGCAGTTGATAGACGAACAACGACGAGCAGCTAGGGAGCCTCGGGTTAGTTACTGTTTTTTGAAAGTTGTGAATCGAGTTTTTATAGGTGAAATTTACGACTTCTGTGTGAAAATTTTTTCGCTCTAAGTGTTTTCTTGGTATTGTCAAAGGCGCCAGCCCGATTTGCGAGGCTTTCTACTGAGTAGTTGATCAAGTTCTCCTGCAAAAGTTATCTCAAAGCAAAATTGCTTCACAAAATTGATGTGGTGATTTACCAACAGTTTTTGAAGGTAATAAATCGAAAAAGAGCCCTGAGGCTTAGAGGTATCCTGGATATTTTATTTCTCTCTGATTTCGATCTTCACCTTCAAACCTCCGCGATGATGCGTCAGGCGATCTCTGCCGCATTTGTCTTTTGAAGTATCTTATAGCTTCAAAACTACCTTCAGCGAGAGCTGAGCGGTTACTCAGTAAGGGGCTCGCTTTGTAACTCTAAAATCTAGCGAACCTCATCTATGTAGGCCCTGATTTGTGCCTCATCGGAGCCGCTGTGAAAAATGATAAAATAAATTTTTTTTCCACTTCAGATAAGCAAGTTACAGGGTCCGAACAGGCGTGAAATGGATATGGATTCGAAGGCAATGGCCGATTCCGATTGGCGTGGTGGAATGCGTGAGCGTCAAGCTATTCCTACCCGTCCAATGCCAGGTCGCGATCGTGATCTGGGCGAACGTCCGCCAATGCGCGAACGGGAGGTGAGTCAGGAGTTTCTGCTTCTGCCGAACTCTTCTTAACTTCTACTTGTGTAGAACATCATATCTGAAGCCGATAGGGACAGCTCTTGGAGACGTGGCATGAGTACAGGACCGGCTGCACCGCCACCTCCATCGAGATTCCCCGAACGCGAACGTGAACGTGCAACTCGTAAGTTCTGATTTGCTCAAAATCTTTTTTCAACTAATTTTTTGACGAATTCAGCTGCACCACTGACCAACGCAGATAAAGACACATCATGGCGAAGTAATTTGGCTCCTGCGCCTCCTCCACCTGCTTCTGAAAGTCAGTCTTCATTAATTTTAGTTTGTAGAAATACAACTGGTTTATCATTTTTTAGCTACTCCTCCTCGTCGGGTTGGACCTCCCACTGGTGGCGCACCTGAAGGTACTTGGGCTCGTGGTAATGTTGTTAGAAAGGATCCTGCAGCTACGAATGGTATGCATTTCGCAGTATTTTTCAAAGGTTTATTATTCATGTTTTTTTT